CATCAAATCAGTAAAAAGGCATTAAAGATCCTTTCTTTTTCTTTTTACGACTTTGCAAAAGTTTCCATGTCCTATTGTACATTGAAATAAAATAAAAGTCTGTTTTGATGTGTCGCTTCGGAATTGGAGTGTAGGCGTTTGGCTTGATGTATTTTTTTGTTTGCCACTGTGTATGTGTGTGCGTGTTTTGTTTCCAGTGTCTGCTCTTGCAGCAGTTACGGTCTGTGAAGCAGCAGACTCGCAGATGAGCGCGGTGCTTTACACTGTTCCATTAGCCGTCAACCACAAACCATCACAAAGTGCTGTCCTCCTGCTGTCTCTGCCGTTCCCACCACACTGAATCTTCTCTCTTTTCCCCCTGTGCCCCACTGAGCTGTTGCATTCCCTGCACACTGTTTATGTAGGCGGGATGGCACGATAAAACAGGAAATGCTTCCTCGGGGAAGCTGCTGATTGTGGATGCATATGGTCCTCGGGGGAGTCAGTGGAGAGAAATGGTCAGAAGAGGTCACCAAACCCTGCGATGCATGTGAGCCAGCAGCAGCCCCACAGAGCCAGATGGAAGCACGCCACAGAAGTAAATGTGAGAAAAAAGTGCAGCCAGGGTCGCGGCACGCAGACCACTGGTTGGGGACTCCCATTGTCGTCCAGCCGCGACCTTATTGGATTTCTCTGGAAATGTTTATTCCTTTCTGTGCCCCGCTGAGGAGAAGCTCTTACTTATCTCATCACTATTTATTGAGGGAGCCCCTGAGGTGTCCAAGCATACAATCAGGTGTGAGGGAAGATGGGCAGCAGGGACAGGGCAGAAAGACAGGGTCGAGAGAGAAAATGAATAAGATAGAATGTACAGTGCAGAATGATTTTCTTCACTTGTTATCCAAGAAAGGGTTGAAATGGCATAAGAATCGGGATTGGACCGCTCTGTGGTCTCCGATTGCCTCTGCAGCACCTGCATTCACTTCTCTTTGTTCAGCTCAGTTTGGCTCAGACTCATTACGGTGCCGATGAATACGCGTCAGGGTATTTTAGGATTTCTTAAAGAAGTTACATCTTTTTAGTGGGGTTTAGTGCGACTTTAAACTGTCAGCTGTCTCCTTTTTACGCTGCTACCCTTCTTCCCTCTGTGGGCTGGTGTCTCTTAAATTCCCCTGTAGTTGTGTAATACTTGGTATTCTGAACATCCAGTCTTGATTGTAGCTCACAAGAGACCTCTTCAGAGAAAGAGGAGAGCCCAGGTATATTAATATAGAGTGTCCCCTCCTTCATTTTCAAGGGGAGTGTCAGCTTGTTAAACTTTGAGGAGAATTCTACACAGTTGTTGTCTGGCTTGCCCTCGACTTCACTCTTTCTTTGTGTCCTGGAATGCCACCCAACAGAGTGATACAGTTAAGTTGTATAAACTGAAACACAAGACCTCAACATTTAGGAAAACATACAAAAATGCAGCTACCTGAATTATTGATCACGCACTTTATATAAGACTCTTATAATAGCCACGCTGGCGACATGGCTCGAGGTATGTCATGACATTAAGTTAAATGGTCTTTCGGTCATTATCCCACTGTGGTCCAGACTGAAATATCTCAACAACTACTGGATGGAAGGCTATGACAGGCTCCATTCCAAGTGTTGCATTTATTATATATTCACTGTGTTCATCACCGCTTGAGCATTATCTCAAGCCGCCAAAGTCTGTTTTGTCCCGCCACAATTTCGTAATGAACCGAAAAATATTTTTACAATTCCCAAAATTCACAAAATTGTTGATAAGAGCACAAAGATCTCGGCTCTTGATTTTGCTGTCAGAGTTCACCAGACTGATGCATTTGTAGTGACATTCTACAATTGAGTTTTGATAAATATCAGGATTGCTATATTTTTAAGAGCTGGCCTATTCAAAGGCATATATTCCCTGGTTGAGCTTGCAACATGAATCTAGTAGTCACAATTGAATGAATGCTATTTAACCTCCAGGAGACGCTGGCTGGTTACAAGGCCAAATTGACCATTAAGTCAATAAAAGACATTTCAAGCATACTCTTAACACCTCCTCAGTCAGCTTGGATATGGTCTGTGGAGTAATGACTGGCTGCCCTCTGAGACTCAACTGTGTCTAAAACATTTTGAAGCCTCACTGGGAACCACTGATAGACATCCTGATCACTGAAGTGTAAAGAAACCAGATACAAGACCCCGCTGCTCCCGTTGGGACCCGAGGAGGACTGTGCACAAGCTCTTTGTGTTAGAGTTGTATGCACTGCCAGTAAGTTCCTCCTCAGCACTTCCTTTCACTCTGGCTTGAACAGAGGATCTTCCATTTAGTGGGAGAAAAAAGCGGCCTTGGACTGGCACTGTGAGGTATTTTGTGACGTCCAATGTGGTTCAGTATTAGCAGTGGGTTAAGATGAAGTGTTGTAATTCACTTTTTGGTGCAGCCACTTTTCATCCATCTATTCCAGTTGTGGACGAAGTTTAGGTGATTTCCTGATTTTCCAAAAATGTTTGAGTTTAGTAAGCCTGTTCTTGTTGCCTTCAGTCAAAGGAGGATACAAGGGAATATAAATATAGCATTTTAGCAAATTACACTGTGAACATTGGGGATTATTGTATTTTGAGCTATTGATCCTACTGTAGTGGGTTCAGTAGCCTATATTTTATTATTATATATTTTATTTATTTGGTATCAAACTATTTTTATTAATTTTATTTCAGTAATTCATGTATTTATGGTATTTTTCATTATTTCCATTGTTATAACTAGTGTGGATAATCACGGGTCATTGGCAGCAGTCTACCTCCATTTATAAGTGATAAAATGGCTTAAATGTAAATGTTTCTGACAGCTGTTACAGTCTGTTGTTACAGTCTGTACATTGTTTCCATGATTTCCTTTGCCCCACACTGATGCAAAAATACATTTGCCAGTGATTATCTTCACTGCATATTACTCCAGGTATGAAATAAAGCCATGTCATAACCAGTTTAAGTCAAGTGCTTAAGTAGAAATACAGATTCTCCAGTTCAGGGACAGGGTTGCTTTGACATACAGTGATAAATTAATCTGTGTGTCACAGCAATCCTTTTGTATTTGAGGTCCATGAGTTTCTGTTCAGGCATCTGACAAATAGCGTCTATTATCTTGTTGTATTTGTTTGTTTTTAAGAGAAGATGATATTAATTATATAAATATAATATTATATAACATTTTTAGATATCTATTTTTGGTAAATTAAATATTTATCTGGAATTTAAAAAATAATATTAAGAATAACCGATAATTTAGTAAATAGATAAATTGACAGATAAAACAATTAATCATTAGGTGCAGCCCTACTCCTGAGTACACAACTATAAACAGAAAATGTTTTAATATCAATAAACCCGTAATGCTTTAACTATCACCCTCTGGTCAGGGGCATTAAATCAAAGTAATCACACCTGTGGGATCACTTCCTGCACACAGATTATGCTTCCCACCCACACATTCACCCTCTTTCTGTTGCCTGCACAGGAACCACTTTCTCTGCTGAGTGATGATGAATGGTTCAAGGGTTGCTTTCATTCATAAACCCAAATATTTGTTGGTGTTGTCAGGTGGAACAGTAACCTTTGAATTCACCCTCACGTCACGCACATTGTAAATGAAGGCAAAGACTGCTCGGAGTCCTCTCAAAGGACAAAAATATCGTGTAGTGTGACCAGAAGACTAAATAGCTTATGTGGCTAAATGCGTGTAGGTCTTCATTCATAGACACACAACAGAGAGGGAAGCAGCTGGCAAAAAAAAAAGAGATCAAATCATGTTTGGAAGACTGCAACACGCACTTACACAAACATTCAGATCGACCCTTAGCTGTAGTGTTTATCTTCATTCTTATAGCGATGGGGAAGCATACCCTCCGTCATATCATCCACTTTGCATACAACCCCCATCACAACATGACATTACATCAAAGAAAAGAAGCATGAATGGAGAGCAGATATGTTCATTGGTATACAGACAAGCAATCGCAAAGTGCATGGTAAAGTGGAGCAACAAATTCAAGATGAAAGCAAAGTCCTATCTTTGGTCTCATCTGCCAACCTGGTATGGATTGGATGGGGAAAGGGATTGGGCCTTCTCTTTTAATTTAGTCTTCTCTTCAATCCTGGAACTTTGCTGTCGCACTTTGACAAAATCACACTGTTCACATGTTATGGAACATTAGTGTTAATACATTTTATGTCAACACGTTCACCCAGATCACTCTCGGGGGATACACTTTACAATATGGGTTACATGTATAAGATATTTTCATTTTGTTTTGTTTTTATCCTCATGGTCATTTTCCTCCTTTGTAGTCGACGGAGCCAAGGACAGTGATGCTGTAATATTGCCGAAGTCAAAGAAACCTTTTCATAATGTCCTTTTCCAGATTGCGAGAAGGTGAATTTATTACTGAGGGAGGTAAAGGAGGAAAAGGAGTGGCATGGTCACATCCCACTTACACAGCACCCTAATTTTATGGCAAACAGCACATTCACTATGGATGGCAGATCCCAAAGTATCAGAGTGTTACTCGCTGACTAGCTCATTTTAGCAAACTAATAGTTCTAGCAAAGATGTACAACAAAAACACATAGACAGTTTAGAGTGTATTAACTGCTCATTAAAAAAGCAGGTGTTTGCTTGATTGACCAATGGAACACATGAGATAACACACATGTCTAAAGTCAGCCAATTGTCCTCTTGGGGAAAACGGTGTGATCAAAAAAAGATAACAGCTGGGACATCTTTTGAAGACCAGACAGCGCAGTGAACCATCTGGATAATGTATTGCTAGACAGACAAATGGCAGAAAAAAAATAAAATAATTGTCTGTCTGGACGCAGCTGCCATGCATGGATCAGCTGGATACATCCAGTGAGTCATTGAAATGAGGATGTTCATGGTAACAGAAGTAGAATCTTTCAGCCTAATGCGTTCATAAACACGTCTTTTTTTTTTTCCTCCACAGAGTGAAGTTGAAAGAAGGATTGACGTTTCTTGGGGCTCGTCCCAGCAATCCCACTCAGTGGATAGTTAGCCAGGACGTGAGGAGCGAAGGCCACCGAGTGGTGACTCTCCACTGCCGCAGGAAGGAGTCCGGCTACGATCAGCAAAGGTGAGCTTATAAATTACACCACTTCAAATGGAATACACCAAAAATACACCAGGAATTGATATGGTCGCATGGGGGAAACACAACATTTTTTTGTATTTAAGAATTGCTTGAATGGATACAGCTGCTACAAATTCTCATCCGCTCACTCTTGTGATACTCGACTATTGAGCCCCATCACTTAGACTGAGTAGCGGTTCAATCTGCTAAAATTTTTCTTAGAAATAGCGGTCGCGGATCCTCTACAGTTTGCAAGAGATACATAGGAACGGATACATACAGAGTGAGTGTATCTAATGATGGTCCCTCTGCTGAAATTACACACTTGACTTGACATAAAGGCCATGGGATACGTCTGTAGAGACCACTGTGTGAGAGGGGGGGGGGGGACCATTGCGATATCCACTCTTCTCTCTCTCCATCATCTCTCCTTCCTCCCTCTTTTTATTTGCATACTTATTTTCTTCGCTGTCCATATCCTCAAAGTTGTTTTGGTCATCTGTATTCACGTCCTTAAACTAATCTGGCAGATAGGGGTGATTGCCCGAACTGGGAAAAAGGTTGCTGTGTTAATTAAGTGCTGATTGAAGGCCTTTGTGTGTTTTAATGGTTTTTCCCCCTCTCGGATCAGGAAGTAGTTTTAATAGATCTAACTTTCTAGTGACAGGTGTAATTTTATGGATTAGAGGCAGATTTGGGTTTGGGTAAAGCTCCACTTATTTTCCTCTTTAGCTTTCGTTCCACTTAACAAATTCTAAACCACTCCCTTAAGAAAACGGGACACTTGACATCGCAACTGCAACTTTATAATCAAAGTTGCGCAGGGGTTATTTAAGTGTAGAGCAGCCTGTGAAACATATGTAATTTGAATCAGTTGGTCCAGTGATTTGTTTAGACATGCTGCTATTAATGGATCTCTACGAAGAATGATTATAGTGTAACTGCAACGCACACAGCACGTCAAACAAAGATACAGTATATGTGCCTGCCATTAAACTGCTGCAAGATTTTCTTTAACAGACTCTTCATACCTTAATTTGTTGTGCGATACTGCAGAGCCATATTCAGACCAGCAGCTCAGTCGTGCCGTGGCGGTTGCTGATCCAGATCTCAATGGTCTATTTTTTTTTTATACATGGGATGAATATTTCCCCTTCTCAGAACATGCAGTTCAACTTTATTAGCAGTCAGTTTCAAACACAAGCTGCCTCAGGAGCTCAAAGTCGCCTACGCACTCAAACTTCCTTCCAGTCCTTCTATTCAGTCTTTAAACACGTTTTGACAGCTTTTAAACACAAAGGTAGCCGCCTGAAAATATCCAGGGATACAACATTCTATGTCAATATCAATTTTCTTTGTATCTTAGCCACGGCTTGACATTATAGCTTTCCCATTAGCCTGGGGCCATTAAACTCAGTGTTCAGGCAAGTGGAATGCCTCATGAAAAATAAATGTGATCTCTATTAGGGATCGATATTCGGTTAAAATATGCAATCAAGAGATCAGCATTAATATTTTCTAGTTGTCGATTCTTGATAATGCTACATTGTGAACAACAAAACCGTTGAAATGGGCCAGTTAGCAGCACAGTCCTGTTTGGCTAAATAACAGAGCTAACAGCATAGCAACATTGAGAACAACTAACTTATTTAGACATTAAGACAATTATACACGTAGGCCTATTATATTGTAATTCATTCCCATGCATGCTGCTCATAGTAATTACAGTGTCCGGCTCTTCTGCAGATAGCGGAGGTTGCATTGAGTTACATTATGGTGCCTTCAAGATACAAACTGTAAAATTAGGCATTGGGTGAAGGCAAATTACACCGTTATGATGATGTCTTCAAATATAATCTTGTAAAATTCAGGGTTTTTTTGTATACAATAAATACAGTTGTTATATAAAATAGATATTAAATGATCACCTGTAACGTCCTTAAAGCAGCTTATAATACATAATCAAAAACTGCCAATGTCCACAAAAATATGTTTGATCAGAGCAAATATTTAAATGTATTTCCTAATCCTTTGAATTGTGTAATGTTATGCAAATAACCACTATACATGACAATAATACATTAAAATGATAACATTTAGAATAAAAAAAAAAAAGTTGACTTTTTTTGTCCAATTGTCCGACTTCCCTTAGATTCTATTGAATTAATAATAGGCCTACACTTTCCATTTCGGAAAAGTATGTAGGCTATCGGGCAAGTAAAACATCTCAGCTTGCACGTATAAGCTTTATGTCAAGCCCTGCTAATCCATCCTCTTTTAAAAAGGTCTAATGTGAAGGATTTAGGGGGATCTATTGGTAGAAATAGAATACAATTTTCACTATGTTTTCATTAGTGTATAATCACCTGAAACAAGGAATGTTGCGTTTTTATTACTTTAGAAATCCTTCATATCTACATAGGGAGCGTGTCCTCTTCACGGAGTCAGCTATGTTGCACCGCCATGTTTCTACAGTAGCCCAGAGTGGACAAACCAAACACCGGCTCTGTAGAGCTTCTTTTGCATTTTTACGCTAGCTGGGGGCCACACGCTTGGGAAGGGATGGGTGAGCAGAGGAATGTTCAGTTGGCTGCAATCTGCAACTTCACCGCTAGATACCACTTAATCCTACACACTGATCAGGTCAATTGACTAACAAATAATGGCCAGAATATTGCGTTCAATTGTGAAATGAAAATTCTGTTACCGTTATTAAATTTGTTATTGCCATATATTAGGGTTTCTACTTGCCAGAGTCTGTCCAAGTTGAATTCTTGGCCTTTAACAATAACTCTCCCATGGAGGTAACATAGTATGCCTCAGTCTGGCTGTAAGTGGAGCTGCAGCATCATTAACAACATACAGTAAAAAGGAACTTTTCAACAAACTACAGCAGTGAGCAGCAAAACTTGTCAGCTGGCTCGTCCTTGCCTCAGGAGTCGTGCTCTCCCTTTCTGCAGGTGGTATTTTTCTCCCTGCCTGGTCTCACGACCTCTCTCTCACACACACACACACACACACACACACACACACACACACACACACAC